GGCAGCAAGAAAGACAACACTGGGATGAATCACATTCATCCAAAGAAAGACGTCTGGCAAAAGAAATCTTTGCATCAGAAGAGAATGGCCATGAGCAAGTGACAGGATTATGCAATATATTTCTGCCTGGTGTCACTGCATCGCCACGTGCTTGCATCATCACAAAACGTACACCCTGTGGAAATGGAGTCCGATTCCCATGCTCCTTCCAGACAACAATTACTTGGCAACACTCTTCTCATGGTGTCTGTGTGTGTGTGTGTGTGTGTGTGTGTGTGTGTGTGTGTGTGTGTGTGTGTGTGTGTGTGTGTGTGTGTGTGTGTTGCAAAGCAAAAGCCATCTTTTACCTTGGATGACTTGCTGCCGTTTTTATGTGAACTGAAAGTCAAGAGGCAAGTTCCAAGTTGAGATGAGTGACTGTGCGAAAAGCAACAGGATCAGGGAAATCTTAACTGTACATTGCTGTAAAACGTATTATGACAATTACATGCGAAACAGCAGTGATGGTTTTAAAACAAGACAAGAGTGCATCTATCTTAACTTGTGCTTCTACTTGTATGATTGTTAATGGCCGTTGAACGGAGGTGGCAGTTTGTACGCAGAAACCAAACACAAGAAACCGAGGCAATTTTCCAATTAAATTGACTGGAAAATAAATCATCTGTTCCCGCTGCGGACCAAACCACCTGCAAACACAGCCGGCGCTGGGTCGGAAGTCTCCCACCGAGCAACGCCCCTGCCCCACAGCTCAGGCGGCGCTGTGGCCGCTCGCCAAGCCGCGGAACCAGCACTTTCTGGAAGGGCCAAGGACTTTGAAAAATATTCCAGTTGTGATTCTCTTTCCTTGATGTTGCGACTGCGATTTAATACACAATTATTTGCTCAAGGTCGTCTTCACACGTATTTTTTTTAAACAAACAAGCAATAGATTAAATCTGTATTACAATAAACATTATGTTTTGCTCGTCTAGATTAGGCGAAAATGAGGGAAAATTACCCATTAATTAATATGCAAAGTTTTTTTTTTTTACCTATTTCAATCACAGCTGATTAAAAACACTTTGACTTGCAGTCTTTTCAGTGTTCACTACGACAACTTCACCAATTCTACTAACAAGTGTGGCCTGCACATCAGTATGTCATTTTACAGCAATAATGCAAACAAATCTGTGGCTTTATCACTTCACAATTTGTTTTATCTTTCATGAAACAATGAGATATACGGTAAACATGTGGACTGTTCTTCCATCTTAAGTATTAAACTTTCAAGTGAGACCCAAATGAATATTTCACTCTCCCTGTTTCTTTCCCAAATTGCAGCCTTGTGATTTGAAAATTGCATTTCACTAGTCTCGATTTGAATTGGATTAATTGTTCAGGTCTACTTTCCAGGGCTTTCTAATAGCTCAATCACTTGCATTTTCACTTTTTTGAATACTGAGGGCTAACTTTGAAGAGAAAAAAGGTGCATGATTGATTGAGCGACAACTAATTGATTTTCAAATAAATAACTATTTTTATAATTGATAAGACAGCAGTTCATTTAAAATCATACGAACATTCACAATGGCAGCTTCCCAACAGCAACGATGCTCTTATTTTTGTTGTCCTGCCTGATATAACACTGATTATCCTTGTGTTAAATCAAACTCAGACCTTGGCTTGTACTTTAGAAAGCAATAACCAACATTTTTGCCAATTTTCTGACATGTTTCTGACCTGTGGCTCAATCTTAATTCATTTTGTGCATTTTTGTGCAGTGTAAATCAGTGTAAATTTGAAATGATGCAATTTTTGTGAAAAAAAAAAAATCGACAAAGTAAGCAACACAATCGATTATTAAAACAATCGTTAGAAGCAGCTCTAATAGATAGACATCTGTATGTGAAGTACATGACGCATGGGATGAACCATGATGATGCTGTGAAAGAAAAAGCACAAATGAGAATTTGATGTGACATGCTTTGACTGTAGGCAGATTGAATCTTTCTTCGTGAACCTAAAAAAAAAAAGGACGTGAATCGATTCATGAAGAGGGCCGTTGGTGAACTGAGGTTGCACTTCGTAATCAATTCAATCGAAGTTTTATTTTCAAAGTCAGCCTGGAACTTCCCTGACAAATTACAAAGTCTATCTAGCCAAATCAGAGGTCCAAGAGAGTCACAGATTGCGGCTGGCCTTTGCGCTACCACAGCATGTAAAAAGAACATGACCACACGTGCATGCAAGCAAATCCATGTGAAAACTTTCAAAACTGACATGCACACTTTGCATACTGAAGGCATCAAATGTTGTGCACAGCCTCGTGAAGCAGTGCAGCACTTTGTTCCTGAAGCTCAAAGTGTATACCCTCTGACAACAGCGCCAAAGAAAAAGTGCTGGGCTAGCTAAAATCCAGACTGACAGGCCTACCTTTATTAGTGACTGACTTATTTTTCTCGGCAAAAGAAAAAAGACAAGCCGGCTTTTGATACGGCCGAGCGTCGACTCAGCAGCCCTGTCTCTCACAGGATCGGTTTGACTGATCTTAGTGGAGACTGTCCCTGTCCTGATGTAGGAAGAATTGGCTACTATATTACCTGCGATCCATTTCTGGCTCTCGTCCCGTCCTATAAAAGAAGTCTGTTGGGAGAACACATGCTCGCGTTGACCTAATATGTGACAGAGATTGACAGACACTCGGGACAGTGTGCCCAGAAATCTGATCCAGGTGAGGGAGAGGATCTAACTGACGTTAAATTCCGTTTCCATCCACAGGAAACACACAGGAGCACATCCTTAGAAGCATCGAGTGGAAGGAAAAAAAACACCCTTGAATGGCTTACTCGTCGATCACAGTGCAAAGAAAGAGTATCAAAGTCAAATCTTGTCACTCCTGCGGGATTTTAGAGACTCTACCTGACCTTAAGCTTCACGTCTTTGGACAGTGACAAAAGCTCAGAATGTGAGTAAAAAAGAATCACATGAAAATGAGCCAAAGAGGAATTACGCGAGCAAACAGGATCGTGCCACCCATATACGAAACAATTCAAATGAAAAGCATCCAAAGAACGTACAACTGCACTCATGCTGTCCCTTAGATTGGTAGATGTGGTCCCTGAGGTATGCATGTTGATTTAGCCCTAATATATTCATAATTAAACACCAATTGACGCAAGAGGAAAAGCCGCCTAATTCATCATCTCTGTGCCCTGAAGCAAGACAATTACACCACTTTCACATCTTTGTCTTCAGCCCAAACCAAGGTTCGCAGTTGGGAACAAGTGAAATCTTGTTCTTGGACACACACCACCGGCTTTCAGACTGTGCATTGTAAAAACATTTGTGAGTAGCTGGCTTTGAAAGGATTTTCTCGTCACAGGCCTCAGACAAACTGAATGGGACTTACTGTAATCAGGGCTGGGTCTAGGCAGGGGCTAGAGGGGGCCTGGCCCGCTCAAGTAAATACTGTGACCCCACAAACTAAATCTCCCACCAAATATATATATTCACATATTTTTTTTATGATCTCATCCCCCTCTCCTCCGCTCCACTTCAAAGCGAAGCAAATGAGCTTTGTTAAACTTGTTCATAATGATTTGTCTAGTGACGTAGTTAATTGCTACGAACATAATAAGAACAAGAGTTATAAATGTTCTTGACCATTTGCATTTGTTCAGTCAACAACAACAAGAACAACCAAAACCATATAACCAAATTCTTCGAGTGGCTTAGCTGTACAGTAGCCTATTCTCCTAAAACAGGGTGTGTGCGCCCACTGGCCCGTCACGTGTCACAGCATTGGGAGAGAGCATTGTTCATCTATGGTGAATCTAACAAGAATAACAACGATAAAATAAGTGTGCCAAGCCTTTGAGACCACAGTGGTTTATAAGGCACTTGTTTCGTGTACCTGCATCCAAGTGAGTTAATTTGTCAGTTAGACGTGGTAAAAGGTGCCGGAGCACAACGCTGCCTCAAGATTTGTGGCTGCTCCCTCATACATGCCTGTCTAGACCCAACCCTGTAATCTATAACACAGTAAACAGTCATAATAATAATGCATATTCTTTGTCCAATCAAGATGGTCGATTCCTATTCGAAAGAGAATCAAATGAATGGCTGGCAAAGTAGATCTCAAGTCGATTCGAGACACATTGTAGGTGCTATTGAGCAAGTCAAAAAAGGTGTCGTTCATGTGTCTCCAACACCTTCATTCTTTTGTCATTTTTAATTTTGGATACAGAATTCCACCTCACTTTAAAGACACTGTTTGTGACCTCCGTTTTCACAGGGGACTAATAAAAAATACATGACGGTCAAATTTAAATTATTTTTAAGATGAAAGACCCCCATTCGGGCTACACCAACCCAACAGTTTTGTCCATGAAAGCACATTTGCATGCGCGCGGCAGCGCGTGGCCAAGACGCAAGCCCAATAAAACGCAATTCATCAGTGCGAGTCGATGCTTTCCCAACTCCGTAAAGCTGTCAACGTGCTGCAAATGCAGCAGGATGGAGTCGTGAATGCTTTGTGGGACATCCGTGTTGCAGCCGGTGCGTGGAGTGAAACAGGCTCGGCATGTCTCCCCATATAAGCCAGCTGCTATTGCACATTTACTGGAGGAAAGGTTGTTTATGTGACAGTATAAAGGAGCATCGTGTCACTGTGCATTGTCATCCATTATACAAGATCGACCCATCCGGTTCAAACGTCATTGGACAATTTTGTCACATTTTGAGCTACAACTCGTGGAAGGAAACGAAGCGTGCAACGCGATTGCAATTCATCACCACGTTAAAACGGCAACGTTGCGTGCTGGGGGGACGTGCGTCAAGTTTGAAGCGTGTCAGCACGCGAAAGCCTCTCCTTGTAACCTTGAGGGCGACGGCGGAAGAATATAACGACGACCCTCGTGTTCCAACACACGGCGCCGCTTCCACATGCAAAGACATGATGAAGTTGACACTTACTTGCACTTAGCCTCCGCTAACTCAAATAAATTCAGAGAGGAACTTACCGGTGCAGGTGACGCCGACGAAGCTGAGCCAAAGCACAAGAAGCTTCGCGCAGAGTCCACAGCGGACAAAGTGGCCCACAAGAAAGGGCATATTCGTCTTTTTTTTAAATCAAGTTTCACAAGAAATGAAGGGTGGTCGTTAAACGTTCAGAGTGTGTGGCGACAAGCACTTTTCAAATGACGCCGAAACGTGTCCCTCAGCACATGTAGTGGGCGGCCATCCTCGCGCGTCTCCGGTTGCTCGCAACAACGACTCACTGGTGTGGTACATCAAATGATGCCTTCCCGCACCCGCGGAAATCTGCCTTGTTTTGTTCCAAAAGTGACGCTGTCATCTCCCTCACTCGGAAAAAATAAATAAATGAAAATAATGCCGCGCTGACAGAGAGAGAGAGAGAGAGAGAGAGAGAGAGAGAGAGAGAGAGAGAGAGAGAGAGAGAGAGAAGAAGGGACACACTTTCTCCCCACTTGACAGCCGTCGAGCGAGCGATGTGGCCAAAAGGCGAGAAATGGTAATAATTGGCCTCAGCGAGAGAACATCTGCTTGCGCAGCAATGCTGAAGTGCAGCTTGAGACAGAGAAGGTACTAAGACCGCCAAAGGCTGAGAGAGGAGAGGCAAAACCAGGAGCGGATAACGTGGCCACGGAGCGCCCAAAACACGCCCACTCAATAGGGGGGCAAAGTCAACGTTTGCACATCGTGGACGAAACGCCGATCAAGACTACGAAGCACTGTACAGGACTAGAGAACACTTTTTATGGTTCTGCTACAACTACTACTACTATGGAGAGTCGTTTGAGAGAGTATTCAATATTCCATTAGAAGAAGAAGAAAAATCAGCTTTTTGTTGATCATGTACATAGGTGGATATGACCCAAAAATGTTAACCCATCACAGTGAACACATACTCGGAACTGTTTGTGACATTATTTTAGACCAATTTCACCGAACAGAGCTTGAAAAAAACAACAGAACAGTGTTTAAATTTGTCAATATGTTGAGAATTAAGGAAGTTCTGACATTTTAAAGACCTCAAAAAGCGGGCAAAAATGATCCCTTGTTTCAAATTCAAAACAATAGAATGGCTTGTGACTGAGTGTCTGCTTGAAGCACTCTGCGGTTGTGTGTGTGTGGGGGGGGTGGGGGGGGGGGGGGGGGGAAAAATAAGAACAAAGAGAAGCATTTTGAGTCGAGATAAGCAGAGGGAACGACTGTGATTGCCAGAAAAGCCATCTCTAGAGCGCGACCCCGGTCTGCCCGTTGTTTGTTTGGCTACCGGATTGCCACACCATCGCTGACAATGGACTACTTTTTCCCGTTCAACAGCTCCCCTGCGCCTCCCCCCATTCATGTTTAGGTAACAAACATTTTGGCATGGTATTTTCTTCGGCATCATACAAATTAAATGTCACTTCAACTGCATGTCCCCAAATACCTGCAAATTAGGTGAGATGTGTCAAAAACAAACAAACAAACAAACCAAAAAAAGCAAGTGAACTTTCAACAATTTTTTGGCCTGTCAAACATCAGTTATCCCGCCATGGCTACAATAAACATTGAAATACTGCATAAAAATAAATCATTCATAAAACTGAAAACGGGGTGACAGACAGGATTCCGCTGCACATCATATCCAATAATAGATGGGGAAAACACGTTTTTAATCTGCCAGAGTGTATTTTTCTGAGAGAAGGGCAAACAGACCTGCGTGACGTGATCACATGAGTAATGGCGGAAACAAGTTAACTGTCACATACCGACTGTTAGTACTGTTAGCATGCACTGGAGCAAAGGTAGTATCTCACAATGCCAGCAAAAGTTAAATTTTGGATTTTCGCCTGAGTTTGTAAAATTTCCTTGTGACATTAAAAATAAAAATCCACTTCATATTGCTTTTAAATTGCCAGGTTTAAACCATTGGTGCTGACAACAAAGATATTTATCGAGTAAATCAACATTTTTTAACTTTCTTCATTAATTTCAAACATTTTATTCAACAGTACAACAAATGTAGAATATAAAATAAGACAGTGTACTACTAAAAATGGACACCTCAGAAATAATGAATACACCTGAAAATGTAAATATAATTTTTACATTCAGATCCTACATAAGGCATTTGCATCACTGCTACTTGCAAGTCTGCATGAACAAGAGATGACACGACTGATCGCTGTGTTTGTCTAGTGCAGTGGTTCTTAACCTGGGTTCGATCGAACCCTTGGGGTTCAGTGAATTGGTCTCAGGGGTTCGACGGAGCCTCTGCAATTGAGGTTAAGACACACCCGACTCAACATGCCAATTAGTTATGACACGCCCGCTTGGCCATCGCTGGCTGCAGATGATCACATTACATTGCTTGTCCAATCAGTGCTGCGGGAAATTTAGTTCGCTCAGAAGTCAACGTGTGAATGTCGTGATACTACGTCATACAATTTTTAAAAACTACACTTATGCCATGTAATTTTATTTACTTTTTTCTGTTTTTAATAAATGTTTTTTTAATGTCTTGAATTTGTAGAAAATCATATTTTTATTTTTCACTAACGAATGGTTCTGTGAACGTGCATATGAACTGGTTGGGTTCAGTACCTCTGACAAGGTTATAACCACTGGTCTAGTGGCTGCTGCTAGTTATTGTTACGATCTAGAATAATCCTGATGAGAGTGGATCCCAAAACCGTAAACAAGCATAAAAGTCTTCTACAGTGCAGGGAAACTGCTGTCAAATTTTAACAAAAGAAATACTGTGACATGCATCCAGTTTCAATTGTACTTGTCCCCATTTGGGTCTCGGCTAAGCTGGAGCCTCATCCAGATGACTTTTTACGAGGGCTGGGAGGGGGGGGGGGGTAAATCAACTGGTCACCAATAACAGGACACACAACCATTCACACCTCTTGCTGTTGGGATGTGGGAGGAAGCTTTATACTTGGAGAAAACCCACACAAACACAGGGAGAAAATGCAAACTAGTTATTAATACGTTGAGGCACCTTATTTAGCTACATGAGAGGGCTGACTTATTTGGAAATAGTTCTTTATGATGCAGTGCTGTTCTACTACAACCAACACAAAACACAATCAAAAGTAACCCAAATTGAATGAAATAGCTACTCCAACACTTGGTCCAAAAGGGACTGAACCAATGCTGGGTTATAATCATACCAGGACACTGGGTTGAGGGTTTGATCCAGCACGTTGGGTCAATATTTTTTTGGGAGGTAAAAACTACCCATACTCATGAAACAAAGCTACCAAGGAATGGGTTAGCAGGTTATCCGTGTCGTTGTTGTTAAGTGTGATACTAAGAATGTTACATTAACCCTTTCATGCACCCTGTAACCTGATAACATAGTAAGATGTCCACTGTTGTAACTGTTGTCCCTGAAAGGGTTACATTTACTTAATCTCCAGTACACAACAAAATTGTCCAAAATGGTGACCAGTTTCAGCTCTTCAGCCCGCCCGAACCCAATCTTCAACCCAGTATGATGGGTCAAAATAACTAACCCAACCTTGGGTGTAAGTAACCCAATCTGCTCAAAATTCACAGCTACCCAGCCAAGGCATTTTGTAAGTTTTGTGCACCTAACGCCTGTCCAACAGTGTCAATCATTACAATGACAGAATTTTTGATGAATCTCTTTGTATGGACGCTCATTGTAGGTGTACCTAATGTTGTGGCTAGGGAGTGTTTGATGGATGGGAAATCTTTTCATCCAACACGGGAAGCATATTAGCGCTTTACATACATCTTTTGTACCTGGACACACGGCTCCCATGTTTTTTTTTTGTCTCAAGGGCTCGCGTGTCTGCCGCTTCGAACTGCTGTTGGACAAACACAGACGAAGAAGCATGAGGATTAATGCTCCCGCGAGGGTGTACACCTGTCAGCAAACTCACACCAGGCTATGACTTATGTTCCAGATAGCGTTTCCTCATTTTCCGACAGAGTCAGTCGAGTGATTATCGGACTGTTCAGCCGTGCTTTCGACAACGCCGAAGAGAAGATTATTAATATGCTTCAGAGGGGGTTTTGTCTCTTTGTTTATGCTTTTCTCCACTGCATGCATACAAGTCAGCAGAATAATAAGTGGAAGTGGAAGCACAGAACTGGACTTACCAGCTAATTATGGGCCCCATGTAGATGAATGATTCCTAAGCTAGAGCGTAGCTATTGTACAAACTCATTAAGCCGTCTCTCCATCTAGCATTCCTTTCTAAAGGTCGAAGTCAGTGACAGACTGACAGTGTAAAGCACGAGCCCTCAGCCGTGGTGCTCCCCGTCCAATCCTGACGGCCGCTTCTGCGTGTTCAGGGATTGTGCGGGAAAATAAGAGAATGAGTCAGCCTTGGATACTTAGGAGGATGCTCTTAATGGTTTCTCTCATTCTGCTAATCCGCTCTGTGGCCTATTAGTTAGTGCAAGCTGCTGGATTGTCTCTTTCAGTCATATGCTTTCCTCCCCCACTCTCAGGGAAACTACGAGGGCTCAACGACTGTGAAAAATAACCTAATTGTGATTCCCTGCCCCCTCCTCAAGACTGCAATTATGATTCAATATACAATTATATTTTCAAGGTTATTTTCCCAATATATTTTTAACAATCAAAAGCAATAAATTCATCTGTATTACAATACACAATAGCAATTTTCTTATCCATAAATTATTGGTCATTTATGGCAATGGGATGGGTACCCATCCATAATTTTATTACATATTTATGATGAGGAATAGAAACAAGTCTGACATATTCCACCTCAGAGCTACTTGTCGGAAATATTCCCCAAACTGTGAGCTTACATTGCACTCTGTTCGGATTTTAGCTCCAATGAATGATTAAAGCGCGATTTCTCATTGTGATGTGTTTAGTGTCCGTTTGTGTGCATGGCTCCATGGGTTCAACACGCTGGCCTTCTTCCTCATCCATCCAAGGCCGCTATGAACAATCACGGCTCTTTGGGGACTTGACACCTTCAGCGGTTCATCGATTTGCGGCGTTGTAATTAATTTTCTCGCCGTCACTAGCTGCAGTTACAATATCCCGAGAGTTGAAAAGCCTGCGTGCGATCACAATACGCAGAGACAGAGCCACCTTTTCTCTTGTAATATGTTGAATTATTTAGCGCTGCAGCGGCCCCAAAGAGACGTCTTGACTAATAGATATTAACAAAACATGAGTCTCATTTGTATGTTACTAATGTGTTTGTGTTCCTGACTCTCTCCATAAACTACATAATTACTCTCACGACGCAACTAAGAGAGACAACTGAAACAGGCGATGGTTATTGATCCATTGGAGGTGTCTGCCACCAAATTAATATTATTTATTGTCTGCACAAAAAACACACAGCCGTCCCTTGAGGTGGATGAGGCCAAGCAGTGTATCAGCTTCC